TTGTATGCCAGACATGAATATTTTTTATTTTTATTTTATTTATTTATTCGATACTGGGTGTCACTTTGTTGCTCAAGCTGAATGCAGTGGTGCACTCTCAGCTCACTGTAACCTCTGCCTGCCAGATTCAAGCAGATTTTCCTGCCTCCGCCTCTAGAGTAACTGTAATTACAAGTGCATGCCACCACTCCCAGCTAATTTTTGTAGTTTTTATAGAGACAAGGTTTCACCACGTTACCCAGGCTGGTCTTGAGCTCCAAGTGACATTTGCTCTGTCTGCTTTGGCTTCCCAAAGTTCTGGGATTACAGGTGTGAGTCACCTCGCCTCACTGGACGTAGTTAATTAAAGGGGGTAGCTCTAATTTTATTTTCCTTTTAAAATTTTTAACTGTTTTTAGAAGTGATATTAAAACAAAATACTTTGTCATGTGTAAATTGGATATTTGCTTTTTTTTTTTTTTAATCGTTTCTAGTTTCTTTATAACAACAATACTAGACAACAAACTGAAGCAAGAGATGACCTACATTGCCCTTGGTGCACTCTGAACTGCCGCAAACTTTATAGTTTACTCAAGCATCTTAAACTCTGCCATAGCAGATTTATCTTCAATTATGTTGTGAGTACATTTCCATTTTTTCTTAATATGCGTTAAGAACATCTCTTGTTACCCCATAAATACATACACCTTCTACGTACCCACAAAAATTTTAAAAATTAAAGGGGAAAAATATGCATTAAGTACAGGGCAGTGTGACTTCCAAAAATTGTACTTTGTATAAAAATAACAAATTTCTGTATTTGATAGTGCTCTATATATGGATTACAGTGAATTATTCAGAGTTGACATACATTTGGAATTTAATTATAATGTTTGTGTAGTGTATCTGTATTGACACACAAAATCCTCAACCAACTCTTTGAATTAAGTGAGAATTTTCTTATTCTTGATCAAGCAAAAAAGAATTTCTACAAAGTCACCAAGCAGTAAATGATGCAGTCAAGATTTTAAAAGATCTTGTTGACTCCAGGTCTTTTGACTTCTTCCTTGCCATGCTGGGGATGCCTGGCCTGTTTTAGTTTTCCAAATATTAAGAACTCACAAATTCTTTAATTAATTAAATTGGAGGGATAGATATTTAGGATAGGATAATTAATATTTTCTTTGACATTTTTGTTGCAGTATCATCCTAAAGGTGCTAGGATAGATGTCTCTATCAATGAGTGTTATGATGGCTCCTATGCAGGAAATCCTCAGGATATTCATCGCCAACCTGGATTTGCTTTTAGTCGCAATGGACCAGTTAAGAGAACACCTATCACACACATTCTTGTATGCAGGTAGGTAAAAAGGGCATATAACTAAAGTTTAAGGTCTGTGAACAAAGTTGCCAAACAAAGCTGTTAGTTAGGTGGAAATTAGCATTTGCTGTCTATGGGGTTCTTAACTGTGTTGTAACACTTTCTAGCTCCTATTACTGCAGAGGTCTTCTCACTGTTTCTTTGAACTTTATCCTTAAGTTTTAATGATATTAATGTTACTACTGCTGCAGAGGTTAGTGGGATTAAATAACTCTCTCAGTAGAAGTTTCTGTGTGCACACTTTGTAGGAACCTTGCAAGAAGGGAGGGGATATCCTTTATCTGGGTAGTATGAAATATAAAGAACTCTATCCCTATCATTTAGTATTCATTCCATGAGATTATATCCTTTAAAGTGGTACCTGAGAGTGGTTCTCCTTCCATTTAGTTTTATGGTTACATGGGTGTGTTCACAGCAGTAGCTTTAACTGCTGAGATTAAAGTTACAAAGGGGCTGAGTACAGTGGCTCATGCTTGTAATCCCAGCACTTTGCAAGATGAAGTGGGAAGATCGCTTAAGGCCAGAATTTGAAACAAGCCTAACATTAGTAAGACCCCATCTCTATAAACTTTCTTTTTTGGGGGGCAGTGAGGGTGAGACGGAGACTCACTCTGTCACTTAGGCTGGAGTTTAATAGCGTGATCTTGGCTAATTGCAACCTCCGTCTCCTTGGTTCCAGCGATTCTCCTACCTCAGCCTTCTGGGTAGCTGGGATTACAGGCATGTGCCACCATGCCCGGCTAATTTTGTAATTAAGTAGAGACGGGGTTTCTCCGTGTTGGTCAGGCTGGTCTCAAACTCCTAACCTTAGGTGATCTGCCCACCTGGTTCTCCACTTTGGGAGATTGGCTAGGATTATAGCCCAGCACTTTGGGAAGCTGAGGCGGACAGATGGTGCCATTGCACTCCAGCCTAGGCAACAAAAGTGGAACTCTGTCTCATAATAATAAAAGTGAAACTCCATCTCAAAATAATAATAAATAAATAAAATTACAAGGGGGAGTTTTTAATCTTAGTAAAACTGAAAAAAATTTTTTTTTTTTTTTCCCCTGAAAAAAAATTCTTAAGGCAGGTGTATGCGAATGTAACCAGTGTTAAGGCTTTTCTGCTTTGTGGATATACATAGGTTAGAATATAGAATTTTAGCCGGGCGCGGTGGCTCAAGCCTGTAATCCCAGCACTTTGGGAGGCTGAGGCGGGTGGATCACGAGGTCGAGAGATCGAGACCATCCTGGTCAACATGGTGAAACCCCGTCTCTACTAAAAATACAAAAAATTAGCTGGGCATGGTGGCGCATGCCTGTAATCCCAGCTACTCAGGAGGCTGAGGCAGGAGAATTGCCTGAGCCCAGGAGGCGGAGGTTGCGGTGAGCCGAGATCGTGCCATTGCACTCCAGCCTGGGTAACAAGAGCGAAACTCTGTCTCAAAAAAAAAAAAAAAAAAGAATATAGAATTTTGACATGTAGGATTTTATATGCATATTCCTATCTGAATGTGTCCTAACTAGCACTTCATTTCTTTTTCCTTCCTTTTTAACGATTTTTTTCTAGGTTTATTTTTCACACAGAAAGACAGTTTTAAAACTGTGTGTGTGAATTCATATGTAATAGGTTTGATTTATATGATTGTATAGAAAGCAAATAACTAGTGGGGTTGTGCCTCTAATGTTTTATGCTTAGTTTTATAAAATGGTGATGTTGGAAATTATCACAGATCTCAACTCATACTCATGAGGTTAGATGGTATAGATGTAGAGGCCATAAATCAACATTTATTTCTTTTTATTAGGCCAAAACGAACAAAAGCAAGCATGTCTGAATTTCTTGAATCTGAAGATGGAGAAGTAGAACAGCAAAGAACATACAGTAGTGGCCACAATCGTCTTTATTTCCATAGTGATACCTGCTTACCTCTCCGTCCACAAGAAATGGAAGTAGATAGTGAAGATGAAAAAGATCCTGAATGGCTAAGAGAAAAAACCATTACAGTAATTATTATCATCATCATTATTGGCAGTTATCTTGCAATGTTGTTACTAATTTGTTTTGAAAATTGCTTAATATGAACTAGACTTTCCTGTAAAGGAATCTTTTTTTAAAAGGAATCCAGGAATGTACAATTTTAAAAAATTATGTCACTTTAAAAGTTACCAAGTTAGGGCTGGGTGCGGTGGCTCACACCTGTAATCCCAGCACTTTGGGAGGCTGAGGTGGGCGGATCACTTGAGGTTGGGAGTTTGAGACCAGCCTGACCAACAGGGAGAAACCCCATTGCTACTAAAAAATAGAAAATTACTCAGGCGTGGTGGCACATGCCTGGAATCCCAGCTACTCAGGAGACTGAGATAGGAGAATCGCTTGAACCTGGGAGGTGGAGGTTACGGTGAGCCATGGTCACACCATTGCACTTCAGCCTGGGGAACAAGAGCAAAACTCAATCTCAAAAAAAAAGTTACCAACTTAGGCTGGATGCCCTGTAATCTTAGCACTTTGGGAGACAGGTGGATTTTGAGACCAGCCTGAACAACCTGTCGAAACCCAGTCTCTACTAAAAATAAAAGAATTAACCCAACATGGTGGCATACGCCTGTAATCCCAGCTACTTGGGAGGCTGAGGCAGGAGAATTGCTTAAACCCAGAAGACAGAGGTTACAAGATTACACCACTGCATTTCAGCCTGGGTGACAGAGTGAGACCCTGTCTCAAAACAAACAGAAAATTACCAAGTTAAATGAAGACGGCTTTTCTTCAAGTAAATTATGTATTGTGTGTTTTCATTTCTGTATTTATGGGTAATTATAATTTAGGCTTTCCCTTTTAAAATGACACCAGGTATGGTGGCTCACGCCTGTAATTTCAACACTTTGGTATGACGGATCACCTGAAGTCAGGAGTTTTGAGACCAGCGTGGCCTACATGGCGGAACCCAGTCTCTACTAAAAGAAAATACAGCTGGGTGCGGTGGCTCATACCTGTAATCCCAGTACTTTGGGACGCTGAGGCACGTGGATCATGAATGAGGTCAAGAGATCGAGACCATCCTGGCCAGCTAAATTTTGTATTTTCAGTAGAGATGGGATTTCACCACATTGGCCAGGCTAGTCTTGAACTCCTGACCTCGTGATTTGCCTGCCTCAGCCTCCCAATGTGCTGGAATTATAGGCGTGAGCCACTGTGCTCAGCCTATTCTGTGTTTAATAAATGTTTTTCTTTATTTCTTTTTCCTAGCAAATTGAAGAATTTTCTGATGTTAATGAAGGAGAGAAAGAAGTGATGAAACTCTGGAATCTCCATGTCATGAAGCATGGGTAGGGTATTTCTAAATCAATTTAACTATTTTATTATTCTTTATGGTCTTTTGCTGTTTTGTATTCTAGAAATCTGTGTATGTTAGAATCTTATTTAAAATTCTATTAATGTAGATGTGTCCCAAGTGTTATTCTTGTTCAGTGTTTTTTGGTTTGGTTGGGTTTTTTTTTTTTTTTTTTTTTTTAGGAACAAAGGTGTTCCTTTTCAGGCTGGGTATGGTGCCTCATGCCTGTAAGGCAGGCAGATCACCTGAGGTCAGGAGTTCAAGACCAACCTGACCAACATGGAGAAACCCCATCTCTTTTTTTATTATTTTTGTTTTTTAATTCAGTCTCTGTAGAGACTGTCAAAAATTGCCAATGCCGATATTTCAAGTCATCCTGGCGGGCTATTGGGAAAAGTTTTCAATTGCCAATAATCGTGCCTCAGATAAACCTTATTGGCTGTGATACTGCCACTGTACAAAGCTGAGAAACCCCATCTCTACTAAAAATATAACATTAGCTGGGCAGGGTGGCGTATGCCTGTATTCCCAGCTATTCAGGAGCTGAGGCAGGAGAATCGCTTGAACCTGGGAGGCTGAGGTTGCGGTGAGCCAAGATTGTGCCATTGCACTCCAGCCTGGACAACAAGAGTGAAACTCCCGTCTTAAAAAGAGAAAAAGGGCCGGGCGCGGTGGCTCAAGCCTGTAATCCCAGCACTTTGGGAGGCCAAGGCGGGTGGATCACGAGGTCGAGAGATCGAGACCATCCTGGTCAACATGGTGAAACCCCATCTCTACTAAAAGTACAAAAAATTAGCTGGGCATGGTGGCACGTGCCTGTAATTCCAGCTACTCAGGAGGCTGAGGCAGGAGAATTGCCTGAACCCAGGAGGCAGAGGTTGCAGAGAGCTGAGATCGCGCCATTGCACTCCAGCCTGGGTAATAAGAGCGAAACTCCGTCTCCAAAAAGAAAAAGAAAAAGAAAAAGAATAAAAAATGTTCCTTTTGATACTGTTAAATATATATTCATTAGTATTAGTCAAATTAGGGCAAAAGTTGGGCCTTGTCTTTAGAAATTGTTGCATAGATGTGAGTCACTGCAGCATTTTATATCACAGTTGTGATTCCATCTCCTTTCAAGAAGAAACAGGGTACTATAACCCTGCTGTCTTAGGAAAAGGTGTCCTCATCATAGACCTTCAGAACACACTACTGGCCATTCTAACTCTTGTGTTGTGTTTCACCCATGCTTGCAAACCCCATCAGGTTCACACTCAAAACTTACTTTGTAGACCTTGGTACGGTGGCTCATGCCTGTAATCATAGCACTTTGGGAGGCCAGGGTGGGAGGATCACTTGAGGTCAGAAGTTTGAGACCCAGCCCGGCCAACATGGTGAAACTCCATCTCTACTAAAAATACAAAAATTCACCGGGTGTCGTGTAATTAGGGAGGTTGAGGCATTAGAATCACTTGAACCTAGGAAGCGGAAATTGCAGTGAGCCAAGATTGCACCACTGCACTCCTACCTGGGCAACAAAATGAGACCCTGTCTTAAAAGGAAAAAAAAAAAAACCATTTTATAGCCACCTCAGTGGGACCCAGCACCAGGAAGCAGCAGAAGGAAAGACAGAGCTGGAGGTTCATTTAGTGACCCAATTTTCATTCCTTTTATTGACAGGGAATATAAAAATATGCCATGTGTTACATGTCTGGAAGTCCTGAAAATTACCACAATTTTTAACAGTTGCTTAGTTTTTCAGAAACCTGGCTTTTTGGTTTTCTTTTTTTACCATTTCATAGAGGTGAAGGTAGAACAATTTTTATTTCTTATTCCTTTGTGGCTAAAAGTATGTTACCAGCTGGGTGTGGTGGCTCACACTTGTAACTCTAACACTTTATGATGCCAAGGCAGGAGCTCAGGAATTAAAAATCAATCTGGGCAACGTAGCAAGACCTTGTTTCTGCCAAATTTTTTTTTAAACACAGTTTCACTTGATTATAAGATCCTCGTTTAAGGCTTTCTTCTATAGCACAGACATTCAAGGTTTTTTCATTTATAGATAAGTGAAATAAATGGTAGGTGGGGGGCACTTTTGTCTTTCTACTATGGGGCACCAAGGAGTTGGTGGGTAAGTTCTAGTCCAGATGTGTATACATGACCCATGGCCTATTTTTCTACTGCCCTTGAGCTATGAGTAGTCTTTACATTTTTAATGGATTGTACAAACAAATCACACGGCTTGCAAAGCCTAAAGTATTTACTCTCTAGCCTTTTACAGATAAAGTTTGCATGGCTGCTGTTCTAGTCATTAAAATTCACTTGAGTGAAGTATGTATGTGGAGGGTTTGGTTAATCTGTTTTTTTTTTTCTTTTATCTTGACATGCTAGTTTCAAGATATAATCATAGTCAAATTACTTTATTCAGTTCTCATTCTATTTATTGATCCAAATCTATTCATGTAGCAACTTTTGGGGTTCATTGTATAGTGGCATTCTAAAGTGGCAGATAGGCTGATGTTTTAAAACCTATAGGGAGGCTTTACATATTGGAAAGCTTGTCAAGAACAAGAGAAAAAATAAAGGGGATTGTTAGTGTGTATAGGGAGAATTAATGGAAGTGGTGCTGGCAAGAGAAAAAAATACATGTATGTTTTGAGACAGGAGTATCTGTCGCTAGGCTGGAGTGCAGTGGTGCGATCTTGGCTCACTACAGCCTCTGCCTCCTGGGTTCAAGTGATTCTCCTGCATCAGCCTCCTGAGTAGCTGGGACTACAGGAATCTGCCACCATGCCAAACTGATTTTTGTATTTTTAGTAGAGAGTGGGTTTCACCATATTGGCTAGGCTCGTCTCCTTCTACTGACCTTGTGATCCACCCACCTCAGCCTTTCAGAGTGCCGAGATTACTGGCATAAGCCATTGTGCCAGGCCTCTAAGAGAAAATATTTTATACTTTTAAGGCTGCTTATTTAATTTCATTAAGAAAAGAAATTATGCTAGGCGCGGTGGCACATGCCTGTAGCCCAGCTACTCAGGAGGCTTAGGTGGGAAGATTGCTTGAGCACAGGAGTTCTGGGCTGTAGTGCACTATGCTAATCGAGTGTCTGCAGTAAGTTCGGTTATCAATATGGTGACCTCCCGGGAGCAGGGGACCACCGGGTTGCCTAAGGAGGGGTGAACCAGCCCAGGTTGGAAATGGAGCAAGTTAGAACTCCCATGCTGATCAGTAGTGGGATCTCACCTGTGAATAGCCACTGCACTCCAGCCTGGGCAACATAGCAAGACCCCGTCTCTTTTTTTTTTTTTTTTGAGACGGAGTTTCGCTCTTGTTACCCAGGCTGGAGTGCAATGGCGCCATCTCGGCTCACTGCAACCTCCGCCTCCTGGGTTCAGGCAATTCTCCTGCCTCAGCCTCCTGAGTAGCTGGGACTACAGGCACGCGCCACCATGCCCGCTAATTTTTTGTATTTTTAGTAGAGACGGGGTTTCACCACGTTGACCAGGATGGTCTCGATCTCTCGACCTCGTGATCCACCCGCCTCAGCCTCCCAAAGTGCTGGGATTACAGGCTTGAGCCACCGCGCCCGGCACCCGTCTCTTTTAAAAAAAAAAAAAAAAAAAAAAAAAAAAACGGAAATTATATCTACTGTTCTAATGGCACTTGTATAAACTCATTAGATTAAATTTCTTGAAATTTCTAAATGGTAAGCTCATTCAGGTGATTGAATCTCAGTTTCACTATAGTTTTACTGCTTCTTTAATCATCATTCATTTACTGGAATTGGGTAGAGTCTTATTGTTATAATTGTTATCACTATTGCGTTTGACAGTGCTTTGTATTGCTATTGATGTTTTGTTTTTATTAAATAGGTTTATTGCTGACAATCAAATGAATCATGCCTGTATGCTGTTTGTAGAAAATTATGGACAGAAAATAATTAAGAAGAATTTATGTCGAAACTTCATGCTTCATCTAGTCAGCATGCATGACTTTAATCTTATTAGCATAATGTCAATAGATAAAGCTGTTACCAAGCTCCGTGAAATGCAGCAAAAATTAGAAAAGGGCGAATCTGCTTCCCCTGCAAACGAAGAAATAACTGAAGAACAAAATGGGACAGCAAATGGATTTAGTGAAATTAATTCAAAAGAGAAAGCTTTGGAAACAGATAGTGTCTCAGGGGTTTCAAAACAGAGCAAAAAACAAAAACTCTGAAAAGATCTAACCCCGTATTATGGACAGACACTGAAATTGCATTTTAGGGAATTCATCCTCCAAGAAGAATTATGTTTTTCTTTTTATTTTTAATCATAGGTTCCAAACAGGCACTGTTAGATGAAGTAAATGATTTCAACAAGGATATTTGTATCAAGGTTCTACTTCATTATGCAGCATTATATGTATATTAGTTTTTTTGATGTCTTGAAACATTCTGTAGTTTAAGCATGAAAGCAATATTTTAAAGAAAGTGTTTTTACATTCATTTATCAAATATGTTGAATTGGTACTCTAGAAACTATTTCATATATTTAAATTAGAATGTTTTTTGCATTTATGACTGGCTGTTTTTCTACTTTGTAATTGTGAGACAGTTTCTTGGGGAGGGAAAATTGGAATGGTTCCCCTTTAGAAATTGAAGTCTTCAGGTATCAACTACAAAAAAGGAGAAAAATAGAAATTGAAGGATTTTTATGAAATTATATTGCATTACTATTTTCAATCAAACTTAAATCCTTGTTTTTGAAATCATTTATCAATTTGGAATGAAAAATTATAATGTAGGATATTTTATATGACATAAATTCATTTTACAATTTAAAAATAGCACTTCTTCATCTTATGCCTGTTTGAGAAGATAATTTTTCACATTGTTGACAGTGAAACGCTATGTTGGTTTATGAGATTACTGACCATTTGTTTTCATGTGAATAATTTTAGTGCATTGCTCACCCAGGATTTTTTTTTTTTTAAACTTGAACATTTTGCTTGTTTTGATTTTTTTTTAATTTGATAATCACACGGAAAATAAAGCTGTTCATATCTTTAAATTAGGATTGCAAACCAAGGGAAGAACATGTTTGAGATTTTAAGATGTCACTTATAAGGGGAGAAGTGTTTTATAAGAGTGAACAGAAAACTGTTATACCTTTTATTTCTTTGCAAGGATGTCTTTGTAATGTGTTTCATGAATAGAATATCCAATGCAGATAAGCTGACTTGAATCATTTTGAGCAATTTTGCCCTGTGTTATGTGTGTTTCGCGCACATATTTGCAGTTGGATTTTCTCCAACAGAAAGTGGTTTCACTACTGGCACATTAACAAGCACCAATAGGTTTTTATTCCAACTCCGAGCACTGTGGTTGAGTAACATCACCTCAATTTTTTATTATCCTTAAAGATATTGCATTTTCATATTCTTTATTTATAAAGGATCAATGCTGCTGTAAATACAGGTATTTTTAATTTTAAAATTTCATTCCA